ACGTTTCAGACGAAAACACCCCTATCGGCCTTTGGCCGATATGAAAAAAGGCACCGGTACAGGTGCTGAAAATAGCACTGCCCCCCTCTGTGGTTCTGAGCCTTCCCTGAGAACCCATCCAACGATCCCGGCGGTGAGCATAGAGATCAGTGAAGAAAAAATGGCCTCCATTCATCTCTATTCCCTTGGAGGACTGGAGAAACTTCTGGTTCCGACACCTTAAGAACAAGACCAATTTTATTTATTTATTTATTTTAGTTAAGCACTAGATCAATGCTTTTTTTTATTTTAATTTTTTTTTTTAATCTAATGCTTTACATTGCAGTGGAGAGATGTGGAGTCTTATTGACCTCATATCTTTCCATAAAGAGGACCTGTCACTGCTTATTTCTATCACAAGGGATGTTTGCATTCCATGTGTTAGGAATAAAAGTGATTACAAGTAAAAAAAAAGTTTTTAAAGGAACAGTGTAAAAAAAAAAAAAAAAAATTTTTTAAAATGTTTAAAGTGCCCCCGTTCCCCCATGCTTGTGCACAGTGGTGAACGCATACATAAGCCACGCCCACATATGTAAACGGTGTTCAAACCATGTGAGATATCGCCACGAATGTCAGAACAAGAATAATATTTCTAGCTTTACACCTCCTCTGTAACTTTAAACTGGTAAACTGTAGAATTTTTTAAAGTGTCACCCATGGATATTTTTAAATAGCATAGTTTAGCGCCATTCCACGAGCGGGCCCAATTTTAAAGCATGATATGTTTGGTATCTATTTACTCGGCGTAACATAATCTTTCATATCTTACAAAAAATTGGGATATATATATAAATTTTTTTTTAATTCATTAAAGTGTGTTTTTTTTTTTCCCCCAAAAATTGCGTTTGAAAAATATATACATTTTTAAAAACTGTCCGTTTTTTAGTTTTCGGCCAAGTGCATCCTGAATTTTCAGTTTCAGTACACCACTACATACTACTGCTCAACACTGAAGGGGGAACTGGTCAGTTTTCTTTCCTTCAATCCATGCTGGAACGAAAGAAAACTGCATAATCTATGGGCTACTTTACTGTGTTATGGCTAGCCTTACAGTAAGTTTTTTTTTACATATTTATTGAGAAGAGAAAAGGGAGCTGCTTGAGGTGGCAATAAAATAACCACTCATTAAATACAGATTCGCAAGAATAGATTCTCTGTCGTTAAAGGTTTATTTCCTGTGGAACAATAATTTCAGGGCGGTGCAATGTTATTTTTTTTTAATTGATCATATTTGCTAAAAGGTTGTCACAAGATTAAGGAGTGTTCAGAATATCTAATAGTAGTCAGTCTCATTCAACTGAACGTGTTCTGTAATGTTGAAGACATTTCATAGCATCACCAAGCCACTTCTTCAGTTCCATTGAGTAATGGTAACATAACCCAGCATAACTACCCATTACCTTCAAAGTAGCCAGCGCGATAAAACTCAGCATTTTAGTATGCAGGCTAGTGTCAGTGACAGCTGTGGTAGGGAGCAGTGGGATTAAACCACTGCACTGCTTACTATTTTTTATTTACCTTTTATTTGAAGTACAGTGGGTACAGAAAAGAATACCTACCTTTTAGATTAATCAATTTTTTTTGCTTTGCAGCCTGAAATGAAGACATACAGTTTTAGTTTTATCCAGCTGTATTTACTCAGTGCAGCTTATAACATCCAAGTGAAAGCTATAACACCATCATTTCAGAAACAATAATAAAAAACAGAATTCCTGAGTTGGAAAAAGGATCCCCCCCTTGTGTCAGTGTTTTGTTGAACCATTTTTTGCATTAATTACAGCCTTTAGTTTGTTGGCATCTACTAACTTTGCACATCTAGATTGCAATATTTGCCCACTCTTCTTTGCAGGACTGCTCAAGTTCAGTTAAATTTGATGGTGACCGTTTGTGGACTGCAGTCTTCAAGTTATTCCACAGATTTTCATTGGGGTTTAGGTCTGTGCTGTGACTAGGCCATGCAAGGACATTTGACTTTTTTGCCTTCAATCACTGTGTGGTCATTTGTGCTGTGTGCTTTCTGGCAGAGGGAAGCTGATTTTCAGTACTTCAGTCCCTGCTGCAGAAACACCCCCATAACAGGATATTACCACCTCCATGCTTTATTGTAGGAATGGTGAGCAGTATTAGATATCTGCCAGACATATTGTTTAAGGTGCATTTTAGCAAAGCTTAGTTGTGAATGCATGTGGCGTTTCTTGAGGAGTGGCTTTTTTCTTGCAACCCTCCCTTACAAGCCACATTTGTGAAGAATTTGTGATATTGTCACATGCACACAAACGACCACTCTTTGTCATAAAGTCCTCCAGCTGCTTCAGAGTTGCTGTAGGCCTCTTGGTATCCTATCTGACCAGTTTCCTCCTGGCTCCTTCATTCAATTTTGAGCGACATCCTGATCCAGGGAGGGTCTGTGTTGTACCAAATACCTTCCACTTCTTAATAATAGACTTCACTGTGCTTCTTGCTTTTTTTGTATCCATCTCCTGACGTTTGCTTGTCCACAACTTTATCCCAGAGATCTTTTGACAGTGCCTTGCTACCCTTAGTTGATTGTTTGTTTGCTTCAGTTGCAGGGACTGAAGTGCTCCAGGAAAGCTGTTTTCATGCTGAGCTAATCAAAATGACCATAGCTGATCACAATTGAAAGTCAAATGGTTTTGTGTACCATTGATAAGGGGATTAGCTACACCTGATTGCATTTCCAAGTCATTTTTAGGAGTGAGATGATCCTTCTTCCAACCCCCTGATTCTGTTTTTGAATTTATTTTTTCTGACATGTTGGTATTATATGTTTCAATTGGATGTTATAAGTTGCAATGAGTAAATACAGCTGGATAAAAGAAAAACGGTGTCTGTCTTCATTTCAGGCTGCAAAACAACAAAATGTGATTATTTTAAAGTGGAGTGATTATTTTCTATACTCACTGTATAACATAGTGACTCTTCATCCATGTAACTGCACAGAAGCACTGTGAGTTGTGCTGCTATTCTGTGGCAAAAAGCAGGCATGCAGCATTTTGCACCATTTCACTTCACTTCTCATTACACTGGCTTTGTGGTGTGAACAAGGCACATAGAAAAAATTATTTTCTATGTGTTGTAGCTGTGAACTCTGTTTACCCAGTGTAGAAGAATGCAGGTCACCTCACATCCTGGGCATGAGCCCTAAGAAAAGGTTGGGAGGTGGGAAAGTTATAAAGCCATCCCATTCTAGTTATATAGTCAGAGTGTCAGAAAGGCTTCATAGGTGTTAATCCTTTAATTTGCATGGCAGAAGGTGTGAACTGTCAAACAATTCCAGGGTAGAGTTGTTAATATTGCATTATATATGGAGCACGGATGATGTCTAGTGTACAAAGTACCTTGCAGCTTTTACGCTCTTGTTGTGTTTGTATCCCTACCCATGGCAACCAAATTCCCTCCCAATCCTAGATTTATCTAAAAAAGGAAAATATTTTGCTGCTTTGGGTAAAATTGTTTTATTTGTATTTTTGTATCATTATGTAATTTTCTGCTAGAGACCCATCTTTTAATGTATTGCTTCCAGTCAAAGTCATTACTGTCAGTTTGATAAATTAACTGCTCTGCAAGTATGTGCAGGTCCTTTCCGAATGGCTGCATTCCATTTACATTACAAACATAGCTATTTCATAATATTAACAGATCACTATTAAAGGGAATATGTTGTGGTTTTGTAATTAATATATATATTTGAGAGAGAGAGAGAGAGAGAGAGACTCTCACTCTCTACCCCCCCATTTCCCAACTACACTCCCCCTTCTCTGGCAGGATCAGAACTATTCCCATTTCTATTTTTCCACTAATCTTAACTTCATTATCTGATTGCTTAAAGCAGGAATTCTGGTCCCTGGTCCATCCCCCCCCCCCCCCCCCCCCCCCCCCCCAAAAAAAAAAAAAAAAAAGTCAGCAGCTACAAATACTATAGCTGCTGACTTTTAATGTTAGGACACTTACCTGTCCAGGGATTCGGCAGTGTCCTCACCTCGCGCTGTCGGGTGCTGGTGCTGCCATCTTGACTAAGGGAAACCGACAGTGAAGGCTTCACAGCTGGTTTCCTACTGTACATGCATGAAGCCCGCTGTGCTTTGTGAATGGGCCTCAGTCTTCTGGGACATGTGAAGTGTCCCAATGGGCTCCAGGGGGGAGGGGGCGAACTTCTGGCTCAGTTTGTCACAGTGAACTGAGCAGGAAGTGGAAGCGGGTACCTGCCAAAACCTGGTACGTGCCCCCCTTAAAGGTGCAAAATGTGGCAGCAGAGGGGGGAGGCAGAAAAGCAGAGCTTCCACTTTTGTGTGGAACTCTGCTATAAGAAAACCTAGAACCTATCACAATATTTTTATGTAAGAAAATTAAAATGATTTTAATAGTGCAGGCTTACTTCTGAATAATTGAACGCCCCCTTATTTGGCTTTGATTACTTTACCTGAAGCTTAACATTAGAGATGAGAGGCCTGTGAGATCTGACAGTCTGCCTTTTCAGCTACCTGGTCTCATACCTATAACTCTTGCTGCCTTCCTGCTTGGAATGTACATTAGAGTAACAAATAACAGAGTCTCACAGTTTAAGCAAAAGGTGGGGCCACCATTGCTGAGTTCTCAAAAATGGTAGTTTTTCAGTTGTCAGAACAACCTCTTGGTTTTGTTCCCTTCTGAGTCACTGACCCAGGACCAGTTTGCAGATCAGGAGTTTTAATTTCCCCTTGACATGACTTGCCGCATAAGAAATAGAACAGCAACTAGCATTTTCGTATGAGGTCAACAGCTGCAGTCCCTGTATTTTTCCTTTTTTCTTTTTTTTCTTTAAAGAATTATAATATAACTCTTTCATAAGTAATCATACATTTAAGAACAATGATTTGGACTAAAAGTTTTTTTTTTATAATTGTCAGTTTATCAGGTCATTGGCCCTTGTGTATATAACAGCATATGCCCTTTTTTTCTAGGTTGGCCGCCATAGCACTCCTTTATCTTGACCAGGAAGATGCTTTCTGGTGCCTGGTTACTATTGTAGAGGTGTTCATGCCTCGAGATTACTACACCAAAACACTTCTGGGATCCCAGGTATGCGTTTCTATTCCAAAAACATGTTTGTCAACTCTGAAAAGAGGTTGTATTGCAGTTAGCAGAAAGTACACATACATATGAGCAATGATGAATTCTGTCCTAAATTTATACTGATGCAGCATCTTTGTTCATGCCAAGAAGGCTTTTGTATTTTCAATTCTTCAGGAATGTAAAATCCATCAAAAGCACATGAATTCACCCGTTAATGAATTTTGAACAATCTCAAAAGCATGTCAAACTGATGCCATCAAAACAAATCCAAAGGCCCAGTCAGCAATAAAAACCCAATAGGGGCTGTAATTCTTTACTCTATCCAAAAGTAAAACCGTTTTGACGGTATACTATACTGTTAAAAATTGTCTATGAACAAGAATAGAAAATGTCTGAATACTAATGCCTCATACACACATAAGCACTTATGAAACATATGGTGTGTTCCATGGTCTTCAGTATATAAAGACTGTATTGGGCCATATGATTGAGCCATATATGGCCATGATGAGTCTATATTGACACTGTGGTCCTAGTTCACGTCTACTTGCTTCTCACACTCAAGACCACAATTTAGTGGTCCTACTGTTTTGCATGGGCACAAAATATTTACCTGCATCCAGCTTTCATTTAGGCCACATTCACTAGCGAATAGGCCAAACACAGATTACATGGGAGGACCTACCCCAGCAGGGACCTCTGATGAAGAAAGCAGGCTGCCCTGTGAGCTGCCACATTTATGTGTGGAAGCCACAGATAATCATGGCAGCTCACACATAATCACTCATGCAGTGATCACCTGTGAGTGATTGGCCCTGGATGCACAGTCCACAGCTAATCACGGGGATCCCACACTGGGTTACTCACATGTAATCAGTCTTGGGCCCACTCGCAAGTGTGAATGTGGCGTTATACCTAATTAAAAGTTAGACTTTTTCAACAAGCCCATTTTTATCGGCAGGTGGATCAGAGGGTTTTCAAGGATCTCATGAGTGAAAAGCTGCCCCGTCTCTGCTCTCATTTTGAGCAGTACAATGTGGATTACACTCTGATTACATTTAACTGGTTCCTGGTGGTGTTTGTGGATAGTGTGGTTAGTGACATCTTCTTCAGAATTTGGGATTCCTTCCTGTATGAAGGTTCAAAGGTAAGGAAAAAAAGGCTTTGTTATGCTCTTTTTTTTTTTTTTTTTTTTGCACGTATTCTTTGATCAGATTAGCAAGTAGAAATATATACATAATGAAAACTTAATTTGATGTGCTGATTGTGCAATTACTGCATTTAATCATTCATTGGGTCATTACCTCTCTTTGATAACCCTAGTGCATTCTAGTGGATTCTCTGTAGTAGTATATGGAGATCTTGCTCAACCTGGTGACATATACTCAAAAATGTAAAGGACATACAAGGTAATTCTGTCCCATTCTACCCACAATGAGGGAAAATGTTATAAGTGGAGTTGCTTTTTAATGTTGGTTTTTGAATCAAGTATGTTTTTGATATCATATTCACTCCTTTGATATCCTTTCCTGATAACCTATTCAATTTCTTGTGCCTATTGTAGGTGATTTTCCGCTTTGCCCTTGGGCTGTTTAAATACAAAGAGGAAGAAATTTTAAAAATCCAAGATTCTACATCTATATTTAAGTATCTTAGATATTTTAGCCGGACCATTCTTGATGCGAGGTATGTTTTCTGCTGCTTGAAGGAATATGAATCATAGCAGATTGTTAGCTTGTGAGAAATAGAACTACCTTACAATTTTTTTTTAAGCCATCTTCATTTTACATCCTTTAATGGATATACCTGGAAGTAAGGATGCAGTGGCAAACAGTACTGCATGAATCCATTATGAAGAAAACATAACGCCTTAAATGTTACAAATGTGCACATGACAGCCAGGGGCATAATAGAATTATATCTACGATAAACAACCCATATAGAAATGTATAAGCAAAATAAACATGGATGTAATGCACAAAAGTGGCAGCACAAGTGGATCAAAACCTCTACATCTGTGGATTATCTCTGTATCTTGTTATTATTTCCCTCCCCCATCTATATTATATGCCAGTCTTAAAAACGTCATAGCATTTTTAAATTTTGGAATATGTCATGCTACTTCAGTGTTTTTCTCAACCTTTTTTAAGTCCAGGCACCTTTTTAAAATTATGGACAGTCTCAGTGCACCGTATTCTAAAATTTAAAAAAACTATTCTAATAGCTTTACATAATGCGTCAACATCCACACACGTAGGACACCCAATATTAGAGGTGATTTATTCTTCCAAATTAAATACACTTTTGCACACTGGTACTGACTACTATTCCAATGTTTCTCTTTCTCCTCAGTTTTTCTCCATCACTCAGCTAATGTGACACCAGCACTGACATAGAGGGGCAGGGGAGGGTCAAACAAGGATGCTGTGCAGACAACCAACATACTCCTTATCAGCTGATAATGTCATTGGTTGTTGGGATGCTGATGCTATAAGGTCGTAATGTTGCACAATGAAAACTGGTGGCTTTGTGTAACTAAGAGGCAAGCTTAAGGTTCTGTTCACTACAACTGGCCTTCTTGGCAGCGTTTCATTCTTTGTGCACATAGAATCAAGACTTTATTTTTTCATATGGTTGTAGTTTATTAGTTTGTAGAGGAATGTAATTACATTGCTGCCACAATCCATTAGATAAAGTGGATTTGCATTATGACTTTGAAATATTTATTCTAAATTGCAGAAAACTCAGCAACATTGCATTTGTGGACATGAATCCATTTCCATTACGCCAGATCCGCAACCGCCGCACATACCATTTGGAGAAAGTGCGTCTAGAGCTGTCTGAGCTTGAGGCCATACGCGCAGATTTCATAAGAGAGCGAGAGACCAACCCAGAGAGAAGAGACCTCATCAGTGATGATGATGAAGACAGTTAAGCTGTGGCAGATGCTACAGAAGACTTCATATACAATATTTACCCTAAGATAGTCATGAACAATCTTTGGAAATAACGCTGGGCGTATTTCAAAGCTAAGGAATCTTTCCTTTAGGTATCTGTTGATGTCATAATCATCTGAACACATTCTCTGAAGCCAACATTTGAACCCATTAAAGGTCAAAGCAAAGATTGTTGATTGCTATATGTGTCAGACCACTGTTACAAGAAAAACTCCATGAACTCTTGTCCAAGATGGGCAATATTCATTACAAAGCCTATATGTCCTCTGGAGGTTGACCTTTCTGCAGTTAGAAAGGAAAATATGCAGACTTATTTCTCATACGCTCATTAATCATATTTCTTTTTATAATGGTCATCAGTAAAAGAAGATTGCTGAAGATTATGGCACTTTCCATAAGCAGTATTTGTAGTAGGCAAAGCAAGACTCATCCTAAACATCTTGCTTTTACTTGGACGTTCTTTTAAAATGCGATATGAAAGCACTTATGCTTGTCAGCAGTTCTGTTCTTCACTATCATTCCATGCTGTTACTATTTCTGATAATTTGTTTTTTTTTGTATCTATAACAGATATAAGTATTTTTTCTATGTTATATTTTGCTAATTTTTATACTTTCATTGACCTTCAGTGTATTATGGTATTATTTTGAATATGTAAACAACATTAACTGAAGCAGTATTCGTAAAATGTTGGTCTACTTGTACCCAGGACAATCAGGGGGTAACATGCTGGCTAAATCTAGGACCAAAGCAATTTAACCAATCTTCTTAGTCTTGTTGTTAAATGGTTAATTAAGTATAACTGTGGGTGAAGTTGAAAAAAAATGGAATGCTATCCACATCACAGAAGCAATGAAACTACCAGTACCACAGTTATGGCTTCCCTTCCTGTGAATGGGTAACAGTGTAATCTCACACCTTAATATTCATAGAGCATTGTCACCTAGGCAACATTAAAAGCCCCATTGGACCATGCTGCAGTATCTTGGCATGAGTTGTGTCTGGACATCCCTCTGTTATTATTATTATTATACAGGATTTATATAGCGCCAACAGTTTGCTCAACACTTTACAATATAATGGGAGACATACAGTTCAATACAAGAGGGATAGGAGGGCCCTGCTCCTCGGAGCTTACAATCTAGGAGGGAGGGGCACTGTTCATCATTTCAGTATCGCCTGGGACCTTGAAGTATTACCCATCTCCCACAATGATCTTGGGAGGTGTAGCCTCTTAAATTTCACAGAAAGACATATAGGTGCTACAGCTCCCCTCCTTCCTAAACCTCCATGTGCACTGCATTTGTTGCCAAAAAGTACATGAGCCACAAGAAAATGTAATGGTACTTCCACTTTTTTTTTAAAAAATAACATGGCAATCTGCATATTAGCATAGGGAGGCATACTTGGGGAAGGGAGCAGGGGTTCGGGCAAAGCAAGTCTTGCCACCTACTTTACAAAAGGAATTTGGGACACTGGAATTTGTCACATCTACATGATGTACAGCAAACTTATGTGAAGAAATATTGACCTCAGATAAGCTTGTCCTAAGCAAACATAGAGCCTCAGCTGGTACAACACATATGTCATGTCTCTTAAGAGTGTCCCACTTTAGAAAGCGCCTTAAAGATTTTATTCAGACCTAAACAACACTTATAATTACAATGTGCTCTGCTGGTCCAGAGCATCAAAGACTCAAAATTAGTAGGATTCTAAATATAGCCCAACATTATTCTTTTTTTTTTTTTTTCACCCAAACACCTCACCCACTAATGGTCACTATCCTTTTGAATGGGTTTCCAATTTGAAAAACACTTTGAAACTGCCTTGAGTGAATGAGCATGAAATAATATAAAATATGATTTTGAATAAGTAAAATACATTACCCTAAATTAAACACTTGGAAATGTTAGATGTGTGTTATGGTTGGTAGAGTGGCTGAAAATTTTCACTGCTCAAGGCTGGGCTTCAAATTGCCTGAAATACATTGTCTACGTTGTTTTACACAAGTCAAATCCAGCATTCATTGTTGACTGTAAGAAGCGCAGTATTCTACTTGGTTGCTATGGGCAAAAACAGGCAAGCCTTTCAGCACATGAGATATCAAACACATTGATAAATATTCTATAAAAAAAATTGCATTTAGTGAAACAAAAAGAGTGCTACTCCCAACAAAGTTGAACAATAACCTTAGAACAATCTAAACGTACACTTGGTGCGCATCTCTACATTTATAGCAATACAATATACACTTTTGAACATTCTCAATATATAATGGGTAACAAATGGCACCTTTATAATAAATAAATTTAGTCCGCCTTATGAAAAGTGAAACCAGCCATATAAAAAATGAAAAAGTGCTCAGTCCAGCATATATTCTCTGAGATTCTATCAAATCTTGAAAGATGGTGAAAAAACGTGATTCCTCCACCAAATAAATGATCAGCCTCTTACCAAAAATATTGATCTCACTTTCCAGAGATCAATACACGCTTGTTTGCTCGTACTCAGCACTCATTTCACTTATAGGATACTTTCACACCGCCTCCTCAGCATAATGTGACAGACACCAGAAGGAATCTTCTTGTGCAATAAACAGATATTCCCTCTGGATCAAAGGACCGCAATGGTGTTATATCATAAAATTTTTTTGTTTAAAATAAACATATACGCACAAACATAAGTATAGGAGCACATAAGAAACAGACACCAAAGCCTCGAGTATTAGCATGTATATGACATGACCAACGTCATGACGATGCTGATTGGTGGCGAAACATGTTCGGGCGGGGCCTAGTTGCCCAAAATTGATTGTCCATGTGGAGGCACTGATGTTTTAGTGAAAAAAAATTGTTTTTAATATGCATGGGAATTTATAGCCATTCATCCGTGAATGTTAAGATACCCTATACAAAGGAAACTTTCATTTCCACAGAGGTAGTAGTAAACGTTTTTGTATACCTGATGATTAGACTTGTTTTGAGTGAGTGGCTTTGTGGTCCAGGTCTTTCTGAACAGGGAACATATAAGAGCCTCTAGTATCTTCAATTCTAACTTTATATTATTTGATAGGGATTGTATGAATTATATACAGTCTGTGGCCTATAGGATACTGCGTAATTCAGGAACTATGACTTTTCTTTCTATGTGGACCAGAATCCTGCAGCAGCATCCACGCCATGTCTGTTTATTTGCCCTTTTACAGTTTACCACATTACAGTTGAACTCCGGGACTCAGATTTTTTGCATATTTACATTGTGCCAGCCTGGCTTAATGTAATTATGCATATGTGATATCTGGAGGGCTGCTGGTGATACTGTAAATCACTGTAGTAGCCAGCAATACATACAGTAAGAGCCACAATCTTCCAGGTTTCTGTGTAAACCGCTTCCTCTCTAACTACCACTCACCACAGTGGGTCGCTCACTTGGCAACTTGTGTAAATTTCTAATTAATACATTGTGTTCTCTGATTGGACAAGGTGGGGATCGTGATGTCACCATCCCACCTCTCCACCTCATTCAGAGTATGTCTTGTATGTATGAAAAAATACAAAGCAATCTATGAATGGTGGCAATGCCAAGTGAGTGATACCCTGTGGTCAGTATGCATTGGGAAGATGTTCTCACAGAACTTGGAAGATCGTGGCTCTTGCTGTATGTAACATGGGTTACTACAGTCATTTATAGCAACACGAGTGGCTCTCTGGATATCAGAAATGCATACTTTCATTTCAAGTTGGCCTAGTGTAAGTATGGGAAAAATATAATTCCTGGAGTTTATCTTCAGTGTTGGCAGTAGTCTGGGTTCCAGCTCTAATATATTTTCAAGTCTACTTTACAATATTCAATCATTTCCTTGGGTTTGTCTCAAATGTTGACAGTTGGCTAAGATTACCAATTATAGGTGATGTGTTCTAAGTTAATGCTAGATACTAATGCAAGGTCAAAGACAGGAGCTCCCATTCTGTAACTCATGGGCTGCTTACCTGTGCCATCATTTATGGTGAAGTTGCTTCACTGACCCAGAACTGGAAGACAGAACAGGAGCCAGAGAATAGCAGCGTCTATCAGAGGTCTGTCATGTAAGTATTTAACTTCATGTCCAATTACATTTAACACCATGATTGAGCCATACAGATAACAATTTCTAGTGCTGCTATGGTCTTGTAGTGTAAATAAAAGTCATATGATATGTCTGATAATTTTGAAAAATCAGAATTCCTGTTGCAAGCTTTGCATCATGTATTGGGATGCCCCTAGTATTTGAGAAGCTGGGTTTTGTTGTATAAGGATCTACTTTCGCTTTTTCCTGTCTCTTAAAAATTCCATTGTCGGTTGTTATACATGTTACACATTCCCCTTACTCAGTTATGTGAAAAATATTTTTTTCATATTAAATATGCTGGATATTCCTGTTAATTGTGTGTGCCTTTTATTTTTACATTTAATTTTACAGCTTTAAAGCTAAACTCCATGAAAACAAAGTTTTCCCGTACGCCCGCACTGCAAGGATGTAATGTACTTAGTACAAAAACTGAATTTTTAATACATTTGGGGTGGGATCACATTAATACTCCTGTTCCCTCAGCTTGTTTTGTGATAGACTGGTATGAAATATGCTGCCAACCAAATTAGCACAGTTTTTTCTTTGTTGTTGGTGATGTGTGTTATACCATGTGCACTAAATATGTTGATGGGGTTTATATAAAGCAGAGGTGTTTGTTGTTTTGCTGCATATGTTGCTGAGTTAGCCCTTTGTTGCTCTCTTGTATGTATACAGCAATCACATGACCAAATAGCTTCTAAGTGTTCTGCTGCCAAATCAAAAGTGACCTAATTCCATAGCTGCCTGCTTACTAATTTATTGTGCTTCTGCAGACATTCACCATCTTTGCAAATATATCTTTCCTTCATCTCCTGTTTGTTCCTAAGCATACTGAGACTGTTCTTCTACTAAACTGTGAATTTCTAGCCC